GCGAGTACATAAATATTGTCTGTTATTAATGCAGTAATTATACAATCAACATGGTATATATATATATATTTATATGTATATTGATTTATATGTATATATCGTGTATATCATATACATGTTTATATATTATATATGATATTACAATATCTCTATAGTTAGATCTAGTCATTGTCGCACTTGATTTGTGCATGGGAGTGAAAGTATCTATGACGGTCGTGTAGAGATTTTGCCTTCTCAGGAAAAAACGCTTCGTCTCTCTCTCGTCTCTCTCTCTCTCTCTCTCTCTCTCTTCTCTCTCTCTCTCTCTCTCTCTCTCTCTCTCTCTCTCTCTCTCTCTCTCTCTCTCTCTCTCTCTCTCTCTCTCTCTCTTTCTCTCTCTCTCTCTCTCTCTCTCTCTCGTCTCTCTCTCTCTCTCTCTCTCTCTCTCTCTCTCTCTCTCATCTCTCTCTCTCTTCTCTCTCTCTCTCTCTCTCTCTCTCTCTCTCTCTCTCTCTCTCTCTCTCTCTCTCTCTCTCTCTCTCTCTTTTCTCTCTCTCTCAGCTCTCGCTCTCTCTTGCTCTCTCTCTCATCTCTCATCTCTCACCTCTCACTCTATCTCTCGTTCTTTATTAATCCCATCTCTCTATTTTTGCTCCCTCCCTCGCACATTATCTTGCTCTACATCTGTGAAATATACGATGACCGTAATAATTTTCTAATTTTAATTATACATTTAATTTTTTATTTTGATTACTTAATTTATATAATCATATAATTTCATAATATACGTAATCGCATCCGTTCAAGCGTGGCAAACCGACGATGACGATGAGGAGGATGGGAAGACCGCAGGTGATGCGCGGCTCGGATGCTGGAGAAGATGTACTCGTGATGAAATCCCATGCGCCGGTAGCAGGGATGCTGCTTGTTACGTCGAGCACTGCCAGGCCGGCTGCTCCAGTCATACTGCCCTCTCGTAAGCACCTATGATTTTAGGTCTAGAGAAAAAGTTCGTTGCCGTTGCTCAACTATCCGTCCGGTCAAGATGAGCTTCTGCTTCCCTTTAGATATTAAAATCATTACTATAATTATAATAATTATAGATAATTATATTAAAATTGTAATATATATATATATAGAATCATAAAATTTAATAATATTGTTGCTAGGTCAGGTTCTCAGTTTCTATATGGGCCATGCTCAGTAATCTCAACTTTGCTGCACTTGGTTACTAAACATTGTCTGTAGAGCGTGACTGCAAACGGTGTAGAGCTACCTGGCAATCGTACCAAATAGGTCCATTGCATGGTTGACACTATGCCACGTTGGGTATAAAGTGACAAACTTACTACCAAGAGCATACTGAGTATACTTAAAGGCTCACAATGTGCATCCAAACGCTAATTTCTACAGCTACTAGACTACAAATTACTTCGTGGCCATGAATATATCACACTACCTTATGACAAAATAAACTCTAGCTCCATCCAATTTCAGCTGCGCGTGTCTATATAAAACGGTATTTTGAAAATACTCCAATGTTGTTGAAATTCTCCGATGTGTTGACGATTTCCCCAATCTCCAAGCCAACGTCAGCGGGATCTGCCGGTACAGCGGTACGGGCGCCAGCAAAGATAAAAACAATGGACTCACCAAACCAAGTCGATGTACGGCTTTTGAAACAAGTTAGCCGTTGGCGCCTGATTACCTGATTTCGCACCTCTTCTTGTATGGAACGCGCAGTCAAATGCCGAAACTGAGAGTTTTTACTTTTGTCATAGGTAGTGCTGAGTATGCATGCTCACAAAGTAGTTGCTAGTACTAACAAAAATATGTGCTAAAGAATTTTACATAATGTGACGCTATTCTTAGGCCGAATAGCACTCTGTAGACAAATGTATTAGTATTAGCTCTTGATATATATATATACTATATCAGGAGTAGATAATAGGGAAGGCGTGTGACTTCAATAAACAAGGGAAATTCGTCATTTACTAGCCTTAGAATACCTATGATTTACTATGTGTAACTCAACCAACTTGAGCTCAAATCGTACACAGTACATTCGCCTAGCATCGTGCAAAATCGTTTCCTCGTATACACCAGCAATCCGGAGATACAGACTAAAACGTACGACACGATTATCCATTCTTTGGCCATCAATCCGAACGTATTGTCCGCCTAAATTGAAACAAAAGACTGCTACTAACGCGCTCTTGCACCCTCGGCGAGGCGGTGTGGCTCGCTGGGAGATTGGAGCTGGAGCTGCTGCTGATTGCGGTGGGTGTGCGTGCGTGGGGAACATACCAGCTGTATGCCGGTATGTAGCTGTATGCCGGGTCAAAGGTTATCTCGCCGAGTGTTGCGTCGATGTCCAATCTCCCAGCGAGCCACACCGCCTCGTCGAGTGAGCAAGAGTGCATTAGTAGCTGTCTTTTGTTTCAATTTAGGCGGACATACATTCGGGTTGATGGCCAAAGAATGGATAATCGTGTCGTACGTTTTAGTCTGTATCTCCGGATTGCTGGTGTATACGAGGAAACGATTTTGCACGATGCTAGGCGAATGTACTGTGTACGATTTGAGCTCAAGTTGGTTGAGTTACGCGTAGTAAATCGTAGGTATTCTGAGGCTAGTAAATGACGAATTTCCCTTGTTTATTGAAGTCACACTCCTTCCCTATTATCTACTGATATATATATATAATAATTAGTATATATTATATATATATATTTATGTATTTGATTATGATACCTATAATTGATACTACCTATATATTGATAGATAAACATCAGGTTTAGCGTCGTAAATTAACTTGCAAACGCCACCGCCAGATGGCGCTAAGACAAGAGAAACCCTTTCGTCTGTTGTATCGCCTACACTATATTTAGATTCTAAACCGTTCACTTCGGTGTGCGACCGTGTGAGCGTATCAGGGCCGCGAGTGCCTCTGACATAATTTTGTTGGCTCCTAGTCTCCTACTGAAGTGCATGTCGGCATAGTGAGGTCCTTAATACATTTAATTTATCCACAATACACTTTGATGGGTCTGGAGTCTGAACGCATACACAGTCTCTTTAAAGAGACTGGATATAGTTGAACGGCTACTGATTTAACACGTGGCGCCACAAAAGTCTAACCGCCACTGGTGTAAATTCAAAGTATGACGTCAGGCTGCCAGGCAGGCATAGCATGTGCGCGCTGTAGGTAACGTGCGTGACCTTTACGCAAAAACTCTGTATCGATCGCTGGTCGAGCGGCTACCAGCCCGGCAGGCTGCCTGTTACCGCACCGGATGCATAATACTTCCATTCATAACTACTAAATACTATTTTATAGAAAATGTATTGGATTTTGGGCAATACAGGTACCAGTCTACATCACTACCAGGTGGATGGAGTGAACTGGCTAGCAGAACACTACCATCGACATCATGGCAGTATACTTGCAGATGAAATGGGTCTTGGTAAGACTGTGCAGGTGAGTGGCTCAATCATGAAGAAATCCGAAGCTTAGCTATAAGATACTATAGGTACCTAATTGGTTATCCCACAATCAATAAAGAGACAAATATTATACCAAATAGAGGTTTAGGAATGCATTACTATCTACTAACTTGCAGGTGACTTATAGCAGATCTGTGTTTACGCATTCACATGGGGATATAATATTATGCTTTATATGTGTGCATGTGTATATTCATGTGAGAGTAAAGGGTACGTATTCAACTGCTTTCTATTTATAGACTGTCGCACTATTTGTGTATTTACGAGGAGAGATCAAGACAAAGCCCTTCCTAGTGCTGTCACCACTCTCTGTTCTGTCTAACTGGCAGACAGAGCTAAAACGGTATACTTTTCTTTCATAGTTATAGTTTCCTTTCAACAAAATACAATATCATATCTCTAGCTCATTCTTATAAAAACATAAGAGAGTACAAGGCTTAATTACTAAAAGTTCAATATTCATTAGCCGTGGATTAAGGCTAGTGAATGATGGACTTTAAATAATTCAATTTATTGATATGCTGATTGTTATTTCTTGCAGCATTTTAGCATATTTTATAAAGTATAAATAAAAGTGAACATTTTTTCAAATGTCCTCTGCAGGTTTGCACCAAAGTTGGACCTTGAGTTGTATGTAGGTGACAAAGAGAAGAGAGAAGTGCTACGTGACAGGTTGACAAATGTAGACTATGAGTATGATGTCCTGTTAACTACATATGAGGTAAAAAAACAACATCAGCAGTTGGAGTTATTGAAGCCACTTACAGTCTAACATGCCATACGTTGTCACAAAGAAACACAGAAAACGAAATTCATTGGACCTGTCAGACAAATGTATTTCTGGACCTGTTTGTCTAGTAGAAACAAAGATTTTGCAATCCCTGCAAAGAATCATTCAAAATTAGTTATTCAATGCACTACTATATGTGAATCTGCACAGAGAATCACTGATTGTCGATTATGTACTTGTGTCTTCACCTATAGTAGGTTATGTAGTTATGTAGTTATGTAGGTTAGGTATTATGTACCTATGTAGACACAAGTTGTAGGGGTTAGTAAGGCTTCATAAAAAAATTAAATACAGATAGTGTGTTGACGTCACTGTCACAACCATAGAAATAATAATATGGATAGACTATAGGTGTCTCTATATATTTCAGTGGTCACAACAGTGCATGCTACATGGAATGTGTATGCAGCCTGGTGATATTTCCTGAAAGCTTTACAATGACAGCTAGAGATCTGGTGTCGATGTGGTACATGGTCATAGTAATTCTTTTGGTGGATGCTTGCTTGGTATTCTGCACAGAAGACCATAATTACTTTTGTTTATAGATTACTTTTAGTCCAGCCCTAGTCTCCACGAGGAGAGAAGGAACTAAAAAGAGAGAAGAAGATAGATTACTTTTAAGAATGCAATGCCCTAACACTGGTAATTTTCTACCTCTGCTATCAAGCTATTTCTAAGAGATGCAGCGTTCTTCGTAAAGACGTCGTGGTCGGCCATCGTAGTCGATGAAGCTCATCGTATTAAGAACCAGGAATCACTCCTGTATGAAGCACTGACAAGTATTGACAGCAAACACAGGTACCGCCGTGTTGCAACTTAATTCTTCCGCAATCTTTATTTCTGCTACCCTTACGTTGTAGCAGAGATGCAATCGGTTGAAGTTTTTTAACTGGCAGTAAGTACAACATGATTTAGTAGCCATTTAACATTAATTATCAATAGCAAGAACTCCCTCTGCCTCTGTCGATGCATCCACTGTTTGTAAATATCATCTAGCAGGTGATGTCATGTTGTATAATGGTTTGTATGCTGGATTGTCATCTGATGTATCCAAATGCTCCAGTAAATGTCTCTACACAGGCAGGAACATTGCTAGTTCATGGGGTGCCTAAACAATTCCGCAATGCAACAACACGCTCTCATATTACTCCAGTGTATTCTTCTTATTTTAAAATGAGATGCATTACGATTACTAGTATCTTTGTCTCATTGGCGTCTTGATTACTACAGGGTGTTATTGACTGGAACCCCGGTGCAAAACAATCTAGCAGAACTATACTCCCTCCTCCATTTTGTTGCACCGAGAATCTTCACGTCATCTCAACGAAAGGAGTTTGTGGATACGTATGAAACCATTCAGACTGATGAAGGTTAGAAGACATAGCAGCAGAGTAAATGTTATTAGTGTTGGCGGAATCGTTATTAATTTATTGATAAATGAACTGTTACACAACCAGATTGATGATCAGTGAGTCATCGGTCATATGCCGAGATAAATCATCATCTTGAATATACCGATACAAATCTAATGTTTAACATTTGATAAGTCTCTTGGGGGTGGAAACAATTGGAAATCACTCACAAAGTAGGTTTAAAATTTTAGAAGCATGGCAAGAATATGCACCTGTATGCAGGGATGAGAATCTTCCACATATCCGCGGAAATCCGCGGATTTCACAGTCCCAGGGTCGATTTTGTGAAACGTCTAAATCCGTTGAGAGAAAATTTTAGAGGGTGTTAGAATGTACAAATTTTCATTTTACAGTCCCTTAAGCGTTTCCTTTCCTGATGTCTGATCACTGTGGGGCTCACAGACTTGCCTTGGCAGCAGGACAAGCCGCTAAAGTTGTTCAATATGATAAAATATCTACTGTAGTGACGATGCAGAAACAAATTTGAAACTGCCTGGACAATTCTAGTGTTATGATAATGACAGTGCAAGATATACTCCCTGCAGTGTACTGTAATATGCTCTGTAACAATTCTGTTCTGTATGTGTCTCCTAATGCAATTTTATGCCTTGTAAGTTGTAAAAATTCAAAAACTTCCTGAACCCACTGACCAGGCTTTGCCCTCGAGCTGACCCCCCCCCCCCTCGCTGGACCCCTGCTATTTTCAGCTGAAAACACAAATTGTCATTCCCATCCCTGTGTATGTCAGTGATAATAGCGGAAATCTGAATGGCTTCATCTCTGTTGGTTGTATTTGCCAGGCAGGGTTGACCTGTATAAACTGCATTAGGTCAGTATTGCAGATCGAATGGCAAAGGTCAACGCGAGAGAAGATATTTAACTTAAAGTATAGCACTGGAGTTGAGGAAAGATGCAGTTGTGGCACAAATTTCAATGCCTCACACTGCTCTCTATGAGTTTGGGCTATGGGGTTAACGTGGGAAGCTTAATCTTCAGTGTGAAAATCAAAAGGCAGCAGATCAAATAGATGTTTTTGAGGATATGGCTCATCAGAACTAGTAAGAAACTAAAAACATTGATCGTTTGTTTTCGTGACACTATTTACAGGACTGTGACGTATACTATCTTCTGATCTATAGTGTTTATTTGTGTATATGCATCTATTTTACAGAATTGAGAAAGGAGATGCACAGCCTACTACAGCCATTTCTGCTGCGTAGAGTCAAATCGGAAGTAATGGCAGATTTGCCAAAAAAATCCGAAGTCATCTTCTACCACGGTCTGGCAGTGCTACAAAAGACTATCTACAAGGCAATACTGACAAAAGACATGGGTAGGATATAAATATGGTGTAAAATCTATCAAAATAGTTGTGGAAAATGCACCTATTGTGTGACATTATTGTATCATTCGCCCATATTAGGCCCAATAGGTGGCGCTATATTATTTCCTAAAGCCATGTACTTGGGTGGTCACTCTACTACGTGGCAGGCTGGAGTGTGGCTGGAATAAATCCTTTGTTGAGTTTATATATTATACGTCAGCTCTTACGACTTTACTTCTAGAAATACAACATATTGTATCTAAGTTTTGATTTTAACTGTTTAAATATTCGTTTAACAAGGCTAGGACATCGATGCATACAGAGACTCTCCGACTTACGAACATTCGAGTTACGAAATTTTGATGATACAAACAATTTGCGCAAATGGTGATTTTGACTCGCCAACTCCTGTGTTCACATATATGTTTACGCTATGTACACTTCTAGGTTACTCGATGTTCACACGTACATATACTACACTAATGTACAATACTGTATACGTACGTACATATGTTCGACTTACGAACAAATCGACTTACGAACGACCGCTCGGAACCGAACATGTTTGTAAGTCGGGGAGTCTCTGTAATGATGGTTAGTTGTTATTGTTACTGCATTGTTGCAGAGTGGCTGGGAAGCTTCTTTGCTCAGCAGGCTCGTCCAAAGAAGGTGAACATCCAGAATGTTCTCATGCAGCTGCGCAAGTGTGTCAACCACCCGTACCTGTTTCCTGGTGAGTGTGTACTAAACGCACACTAAATGCACTAAATGCACTAAATTTTAACGTTTCCTGATGATTGAACTAAATGTGCATGTTCCCCGATGAATTTACTAGTGTTACGCATGTTACGTGAGGCGTGTACTAAATAGGCTTGTTCCATGACAAATACACTAAGTGTGCTTGTTCCATGGTGAGTGTACTAAATATGAATGTTTGATGGTGAGTGTACTAAATATGCATATGTCTGCTATGAGTGTACTAAGTGTGCATGTTCCATGGTGAATGCACTAATTAAATGTGCACTGGTACTTGCACTACCCTACCTTAGCCTGACTTGCTCGCTAATTGTGTGTAATCCCTGGCATTGCACTAATTTAATCCATGGTGATGTACTGATTAATTCCTGTTCATCATTTAGTCGTCTAATTGTACTCAGAGAATGTTTAAGTGCGCTAGAGTTATAATGAAGTTGGGTTTTATCTATGCCCTAGTGTCCAGAGATATCATTTAATGTTTGCTTACTTAGCTTAGTTGTCGTCAGTTAGTAGTGTTAGTTAATTACTCCCTTACAGTATTACAGGGGGAGAGCATCACAGCTTCTATGCTTGCATTATAGGTGTAGAGCCAGAGCCATTTATGATGGGTGAGCATCTAGTCGAGGCCAGTGCTAAGCTGTTTGCCCTTGACCAGCTTCTCCATTTCCTAGGAGTCAATGGACACAAGGTGTTACTCTTTTCTCAAATGACCGCTATGTTGGACATTGTGCAGGATTATCTTGGTTACAGAGGTAGGTCTCAAGGGCAAATATACGCTGTCGTAAATCGTATAGGTTTTCGGAGTTGGGAAGTAACTTGTTTCTCGGGCAGAAAGTATTTGCTGCCAGAGGGAAAAGCTGGTAGCAAACCTACTCATCTAGGCAGGAACATGAGATAACCATAGTAGTTCCACTCACTCCTGCCCCAACGTACTGTTCTATTGCTACTGTCCATAAGGGGGCAGATTTGGTCTCCTAGTCGTGTTTCCCCTGATTGTTAATCCTCAATCTTGTCACCCATGTTTAATGCAAGTGGCATGTCAAATGAAGCATAGCCGGTAATGCTTGGTCAACGGGATTTGAGAGAAACTACCCCAAACAACTGGTCAACAGAAATTTCCTGTACCTTTAGTTTTTTTTTACTTTGGTTTATTAGGATTTTCGTAGCAGTAAATATCTGCTGCCGACAGTGAGAGCACACAGCAAACTGACATTGTAGGCAGCAGAACAGCTGCTTGCTGCCCTTAATATCGAACCATAGGTGTTTATTACAGGCATGCTCCAATTCAAGCTACAAATTTTCCAGTATTACTATCAGGGAAAAAATACCTTTTTTTTATGGGAGCTCTTTTTCAAAAGTCTGTGGAAAAAAGAGCTCTCGTCAAAAATTTTACGGGATCTATTTTGAGCTTCACGGGAGCGATTTCGGAGGTTTGAAGAGCGAATCGCTCATCGCTCCTGTGTATTTTTTACCCTGGTTGCTATTACATACAACTGCAATGCATAGGTGATAAAGCTTCCCACCTCAAAAACCGTGTAAGGGATATTCACGGAGTAAACGCCATCACCGATTGAATCTGACAACAGTGGAAATATTTATTTCCAGTTTAATGGTTGCGTTTTCGTCCGACACATACGATAGTGCTAACCGAAGCTTTATGTCTAGGCTACAGCTACGAGAGATTAGATGGATCGGTGCGGGGCGAGGAACGTTTTCTGTCCATCGAGAACTTTAACAAGCAAGACGACACGTTCATCTTCTTGCTCAGCACTAAAGCTGGTGGAGTAGGTAAGAGATATGTTGTGATAATGAGTGGCAGAACGTAATAGCGTATGGATTGAAAACATCGCATGCTGAGCAGATGAGAAATGGAATGATCTTCCCCACGCTTTACATAATGTAAATCAAGCACTCACGTTTGGCTTTTATTGGAAATGATCTTCCCCACGCTTTACATGGTTTAAATCAAGCATGCACGTTTGGCTTTTATTTGAGCAGGGCTGAACCTGACTGCAGCTGATACGGTAATCTTCATTGACTCTGATTTTAATCCACAAAATGACCTCCAAGCTGCAGCGAGGGCACACAGGATAGGCCAGACAAGGTGAACATTGTAAATCAACAAATTAACGCTTGTAAGCCTTGTAATCAACCAGTAATCACTTATTTGCCCTGAATCAAAATCACGCAGTATCTTTGTTTTCTAAACTGGTTAATTACGTCTTTATAGCTGTACTGTCTGTGTAACGAAAAGCCAAAAAAACTTTGCCAACCTAGTA